GGCCCTTCAGGGCTCAGCTTGCCGGCTGCTCCCTGGGATGCTCCCAGGGTACCGGTACCCACCTGCCTGGCAGGCAGCAGGCAAAGAGCTGCCCACCATGGCTACTGGCAGCCACCATGAGCCAGCTGAGCCCAGGGAGGGCTGTCCCACCCCAGGGCATCACACCCATACCTTCACTTCAGTCCAAGTGGACTCTGCGATGACCCCCAGCCCTGCTGCCTTCTTCCAAGCACCGACATGGGTCCTGTACTCCCACCCCACCAGCTCCATGTCACGGGTCAACATGGGAATTCACCTGAGCACCTTCCCCAGGGATGTGGAGAGCTGGACTGAGCCATGGGTCATCTATGAGGGCCCAAGTGCTTACTCGGACCTGGCTTACGTGGAGCTGCCCTACAATGAGGCCCCCATCTCTGGTGGCACAGCCATCGCTTTTGCCTGCCTCTATGAGAATGGGACCCGGTCACCCTATGAGCAGATCTCCTTTAGCATGTTCACACTGTATGATGTGCTCCAGAACATTCCCCTGACAGCTGCTGCTCCCCGGCAGGACAGCAGCCCCCCACGCCGCAGGAAGTGGGGGCGAAGGAGCTGCCTTGTCTCCTAGTGCCCCCTCCCAGGTTGGCTCCCCGCACACCCCCCTCCGGTACTCCAGTGCCAGACACCAGGGCACCAACCCAGAGCCCAGCACACCAGGATGCTCACAGCCCAGGCGTCCTGCCACCAGCCAGCACAGCCACATCACACAGAAAGCATACACTGCCATCCCAAAACGAGGTTTTATCTCATATATACTGTGATTTTTTAATTAGGTAGTTGGTTGAGCATGGAGCCTTGTGCTACCAACCCAGCCCCAGGCTCCTTTCTGACCACATGAGCCATGCCATGAAATACATACTGGGTTGCAACAGCAGCAATGTAGAGGAGAAGGCAGACAGGGGTATCCCATGCCACCCACGTGTGCCAGAGCAGGGGGACATGATGCTCTGGCTGCACCATACCTGGTACTACCACCCTGCTCTGAGGGTTCTCCTTCCATGGTCATAAATACTTATGTTCATTTTTTAATTGCTCTTTTTTCATGATCCTGTTTGAGCCAATTCCGTATGACGTCATGCCTAGCGATAAACTAGGGGGAAGGTT